AGATCTTGGTCATCGAGCTCACAGCGTTGCTGGCGCAGATCTGCTGCCTTGAAAAACCGTAGAGAGACCGGGGCAGCGTCACCGTCGGTCAGCCGTAGCTAGCTACTGTTCCAATTCGGCGTCATAGCCAACCACTTAAGACGGGTAGTAGTTTAGTTTTGTTATGAGCTCTCGAAAATATGCGGTCCTGTAGTGGTAGTTGTCTTAATGCAGGCGTAAGAAAAACTTCTGATCGAGCGCGAAATGAAGGCATCATAGCAAACGGTTTATATGCGTGGGCAGATTGAACCGGTGCACTACCGACAACACTGGTATGAATCAGTATATGTCTGGGTACGCATGAACGAAATGAAGTAAAGACTAAAGGTAAGCAATTGAATATTGCTACAAGCTCTAAACAGATATCAGCCAAGGTTTGCACTTTTCAATTTTGTAAAGCATTGCCGGTAGACAGTTTTAACTGGCAAATTTCCGGGCAGATGCTGCGGCTGCGAAGCAGGCGCAGGAGATGACCGTAGCTAATAAGAAACTATAATAAAAACAAGGGAAGGAATTTATACAAAAAATCTCCTATCCCAGCCTTCGCGGAGCCCTAGTTGACAATAAATCTGATAAAAGTCCGCTGGCATTAATTTTTCGACTGATTGATGCTAAAAATTTTGGTCACTAAAAGCACTGCTTAGTGACCAGAATTTACTAGGGCTCCGCGAAGGTATAAACCCTTTATTCTGGGATAGCAGTAACCCCGGAGGGAGTGCTGTGGCCAGCCCAACACAGGTTAATTCGGCGTCACCCCGGTAACTGGCTCCGGTAAACTGAAGCCGGTAACTGAAGCCGGCGAACTGAAATAAACTGAATATTTGCGTTGATGCTATGGGATGACGCGTTCTCCATCAATCCCGAATCTCGGCTCCAGCTTTGGACACTACGGCCGCGGGTGCAAGCTAACGATGTTGCAGCGCTTCAGCGGTTCTCTTGACGTGGTCCGTGGGTGCTTTGGAGGACGAGGGGGTAAGGCCTGAGACAGCCTACACGGCCGCAAATGGTGAGCACTTGGACAGAGTTTTCTGCGTGTCGGCTAAGTAGCACTCGCAAGTATGTACGTAATTTTGCGCAAGTCCACTCGCGGATATATCTTTCGCGCGATCGAGTTGTCGTACCTATTTAAATGTGCAATGTTAGTTGGCGAGTGTAGCGCGAGAGACTGAGGTACCCTCAGGCATGGTGCTTTGGCTCCGTATGTGATTGCTAGTTTTAGTGATGCTGTTTAGGCTGCCCCCGGTGGGTATCATATAGACGCGTTATCGGGCAGATGCTGCGCCAGCTTCGCAGCCGCAGTAGATGCCCGTAGTTAGAATCAACTAACTGTATTTCTTGACTCGAATTCTGTGTTAGATCAACATTTGTGCTGCAAAACCGCTATCATGGCTCGAGCGTAAATTCTCAACTGATACTGGCGATACATAACAAGGAGACCCGAATACGAGTCCTTGCGCCCAAGTTTATCCATTAGAAAACGTACTTGCACGTACAACCTTTTTACCGTGTCTGTAGTGTTGATCGATGGTGTGGAGCTGATGCAGCCATACAACGAGTACGAGGGATTGTCTCCAAACAAAACTCCGTAATGTGTCGTTTTTTCGACTGCTATACGCCAAAATGTTTGATCATTTAACTGGTCCTATGGACGTAGTAACTCAAAATCAAGTGTCGAGGACACGCCAACTACTTGACTTCTTTATTTTTTACATGCACCGCCTCGCCGAATTAGACACAAATGCACTGTACCGCAGCCCCGAGTTTGCCTCACCCAACGTTCCTTAGCTATCCCAGCCTACTCAAAGCTCTCGTACTGGGATAGCAGTGGCCCATAGGTCATGCTGCTAAATCGGGTTATTCGCGCCTCGGTAACTGAAGCCGGTAACTGAGGCCGGTATCCGTGGTCCTTTGTCGCTGTCTGTCTTTCTATTGGTGACCCGGTAGCTGAAGCTGGTAACTGAGGCGATATCACTTTCTGTCTAGTAGATCTAAACATCAATCGTGTTGCACCTTCAGCATTTCGAATTCGGCGCAGATCAAAGTCGTGGCGATCTACACTCCGCTCCCCCAAGAGATGAGTTTCGCACCTGAAAAAGTTCGCATATCGAACCGCTGCCTTCGTACAGCTGACGAAAAGAAGCGACAACACTAAGTGATGCCCATCAGCGAGACCAGCGCGCACTCACAGCCTACGACGACTAAGAGACAACACCCGTCAGCTGAAGCTACTCTAGTTTAGCGTCGTAGTCAACCTGGACAGTCATGTTAGTTTGGGGTCCTTGATGGTGGTACTGCGGCAATTGTTGTCGCCCCCAGCCAGGGCATGCGGGTGGATAGGTAGGTACGACCGCTACGAACGACAAGTTTTCAAGTTGGGAGTGGTGTCTATAGCTCATCGACTAGAAGATGTGGCCACGCTACCTTGCGACCGGGTCGCAAGGGGTTCTAGACTTATGGGGCCGCAGCGACCCCATAAGTTTAGAACCCCTAAATGGCAAGACATACGAAATCGCAACATTTACTAAGAACTAATATAATGTACCAGGATTTTCGTAAAGGTATCGCTCAAGAAGCCGTCTGGACTCATAGCGCATCTTACCACTTGCCAGGCAAAAGAGGCGGTGGATAGTTTAACTTCTAGCGATCGAGGTTGCAGCCGGATTTCTCTTCGATTGTCTTTATATGCGTACTCCAATGTAGCTGGTAGTTGTCAGACGAAAACAATTTTCGACTGCAGTGTTTCATACTTCAGATTCTGAAATAGTACTTCTGAAGTTCAGAAGTACTATTTTTTGTGTCAAAAATCCGGGTTGCCCCGTAAAATTGCTATCCCAGCCTATGCATAGCCCTAGTTTTTATTTTATTAATTATTTTTCTTATTAGCTACGGCCATCTCCTGCGCCTGCTTCGCAGCCGCAGCATCTGCCCGGAAATTTGCCCTAAAACTGTAGATGCAGGATATCAACCGACAATGCTTTACAAAACTAAAAATGTGAACCTTGGTTGAGATCTGTTTGTAGCTTATAGAAAATGCAAATGCTTACCTCTAGTGCTATTGTTCAGCCCGCTTCAATCGTTCTCTTTGCCCAGTAAAATTCCCGATCAAAGCGGTTCTAGTATCGCCAATGATCTACAACAAAGCTCATTCTGCACATACACACATAGTGTGTCAGGATGTGCGGCCAGTTCGGATCTTATCGAGTACAGGGATGAGCGTCTATAAGAGCGCGGGTCTCAAATCATATTAGGCGGGTATACAAACATAAAGGCCTTTATGTGTGCAACATGTTGTACTTTCGAGTTTAATATTATAACTTTGTAAAACTATGTGTTTACGACGCGCTCTTATAGGCGCTCATCCCTGTATAGGGACCACATAATGGATACATAAAACTGAAGTTTGTGCGACTAGCGCAAAAGTTAGCCATGTGAACCGTCTCATCAATTGCGGATTGACAGGGTAGGGTACCCATGATAAGTCTGTTGATGTTGATTTATTGAAAGTTTGAGGCCAATAGCGCGTTCTTCCTGCCCCTATGTCGATTATTTCAGAGTCCGTCGCGTTGAGGAACGCGATCATTGGGGAAGGCAGCACGCTCTCTATCGTCATCGACAAGAATGTGACGATAAATCACCTGAAAAAAAATGCGATCAATGCGAAAATTGAAGACATCGAGGTTCCTGCGCGCAGCTTGCAGTTTTCCTGGCAAAGAACAATGACGCATGGCTTCAGTCCGACACTGAAGCCATAAAGAAGCTGAAGACGGAAAAATATCGGCTCTTGTTAAAGAGCTGACACACAAAGATCACGAGCTCCAGGCCAAGACGTGCAGAAAGGTATGCCCGACCCCTCCACCGATCAAATCCACTTGCTGGTACGCGACGAACAACCTATTGTGCAGCAAGAGGTTTCTCGCAAGCGCAGCCGAGTACGTGGTTGGTTTCACGACGTGTCCCGTCAATTCCAAACGAAAAGGAGAAGAGTGGGCAACGGTGATCGTGCCATACAGTACTTCACAATGTCCGACTTCCCGCCTTTAACGTTAACAGCTTGATCCAGTGCGCTATGACCCGCGACTGCTCCTCGGGGATCGTGGCTACGCGTCCGAACTGCTTGTTGGCGACCAGCGCCTGCTGCATCAGGTTCTTCATCTCCCGGCTCTTGAGCATCTGCGCCAGCGAGATGCGCTTGTCGGACGCGGCAGCTCCCGCTCCGGTGGCGCTTGACGACGCGTGTCCAAGCCCCGTGTCGGCTGCGTTGTTGTGTCGACTCACCCTGCGCACCACGCTGGACATGACCGACGAGCACGAATCGGTCGGCTGCTGCTGCTGCTCCGCCTCCGCCACGTTCTCCGTGGACTTCTGCAGCTTGCGCATGGAGTTGATCGACTGCGCGGCTCGACTGAAGCCTCGCAGTCTGCCGGGTTGGAGCTGGCTCTGACCAGCAGCAGAGCTGGAGCTTGTAGTGGCTTCATTGGGATCGTCTACCGACTCGTTGGTCTCCGATACGCGGGCAACAGTGGCTGCTGAGCTCGTCATAGGCGTCTTGGCTCTTGGAGCGACCTTCACACTCGCGATTCGCCCGCGACTGCCACGCGCGCGGCCTTTTCCTCGGCCTTCACGCGTCGACGGAGCTTTCAGGTGCATCGCAAACCTGCTCAACTTCTATAATAAGCTTAATAATACATGTACTTCTGTAAATGGCTACACTGTCAACATGTAGCCATGTGCGTCATCATCTAGTGACCTGCCTCCCATCATGCCATGATTTTCATAAGGTCCGGGTTTTAAGCCAATCACCTGGCGTTCCTTCCCACACTCCAGCAAGTGGGCCCGACACCTCATGGCCACCACGAGCGCCTCTGTGGCGGAGACTCCTGCGCACCCAGAGAGTAGATCCGACGATCTCTTCGTCTTTGTAAGACACCGGAGCAGGCGCCGACCAAGTTGCAAGCGCGGAGATGACTTCAGAGACGCAGGAGACGCAGCAGCAGCAGACCCCGTTTGACGCCAAGAGTGTAGCCATGAAGAGCAGCGCAGACGGTGTCAGTAGCCGCACCAGCCGCCCGAGAGCTGCAGCTGCAGCGGCGAATGCCGAGATGGCGAAGCAGGTCAAAGGCGAGGAAACACCATTGAGCGTCGTGTTTGCCAAGGCCGCGAGCGATGCAGCAGCCAGCAAACCCCCACAACAACGTGCCCCAGCGGACCATGCAGCCAAGACTCAAGATGTAGCTATGTTACCTGATGATGCTGACGATGTAGCCATCATGAAGGAAGAGCAGCCTCCAGCCGAGGAAGGCAGAAGGAGGCCGTCCAGAGCTGCAGCCGCTGCTGCGAACGCCGGAATGGCTCGACAAGGTAAAGAGGAAGAAGGTTCGCTGGGCATGCTCTTGGCTTCAGCCCAGGTGCGACCCATGGAGCAGGAGCAGGAGGTGGTGGAGTCCAAGCCTACAGTGACAAGAAGCGTTCGGGTGAGATGGCTACACCTCCCACGAAGAGGCCTCGAGTGGCGGCAACGACAGCGGGCAGCAAGAAAGTGGCGCAAGACACGCTGGAGCTCGCCAGCGCTGAGCAGCAGCCGCAGCGGGGCAAGAAACGACGCCAAGCGCCCGTGTTCGAAGCTGCGCCGATCATCACGGACCTGCCGCCGCTGCCGTTCACGACCCCCAGTCCCGAGCTGAAGCTGAAGAACAAGAGCAAGAACAAGAACAAGCACGCGGCTGCAACCACAAAGACCAAGGCCAAGCAGTCCGTGGAGGAGGAGGCAGGAGACGACGCCCGTCACTGCGAGTTCTGCAGGAAGGCGGCGAATGTGTGCGTGCTGATGCACTGCCACGCGTGTCGACGGGTGTACCACGTCAAGTGCTTCTGGCACGCGTTCAAGCCGTACGTGGATGCGAAGGTGTCGATTCTGGACCAGCTGAAGCGTCTGCAGCTTGAGGCACCCGAGCGTCGTGGCAACATCTTCCGGTGTGCGTCGTGCAGAGCTGCGTTTGTGGATTTCTGTGAGAGCGGCGGCTATCTCTGGGAGTGTGACTGTCCGACGTGCGCGCAGCCGGAGAAGGCGATTTACTACCGGCAGCGGAAACTGGTGCAGATGATGAACGATATGGAACTAGAGAAGCAGCGCAAGAAGGACCAGAAGGACAAGACCAAGAAGAGCGGCGCTGCAAAGCCACCGACCTCGACACCGAGTCGCTCAAACTCGACGTCACGCAGTCAACGTACACGAAGAGGCAGCGCAGCGCTCGATGATGGAGTGCTTAACGCGCGGACAACCAAGCCTTCAACATCGCGGAGCGTGCCACCTGAAGGTCTTGATGTGAAGAAGGAAGGAGACAATAATGCCGAAGGTCGTGATGTGAAGAAGGGAGAGGATACGAATGCCGGACCTGTGGACGGGATTAATGGCAAGAAAGATGCAGTAAAAGCGGGAAGTGAAGCCAAGGCGGTGCCGATGGACGTGGACGCCGGGGCTGACACCCAACCTGGTTCAGGTGAGCCAGGAAGTGCTGAGCCAGGAAGTGCTGAGAAGACTACACATGGACCGGAAATGGAGCAACATGTCAGCACGGTAGCGGAGCGACAACAGGAGTCGCACCCAGCAGAAGCTGCCACGCAGCATCAAGA